ACGTAGTAGTTTCGCTTGGTTTTTAAGTTGTACATTTTGTATGCCATCTATCAAGTACTGCACTAGTTCGTGAACACTCATAGCGATGTCTTCTGCCAGAGTAAGTTTGTAAAAGTAGTAGTTGGCAAACTTCTCACCGAGTTGCCACTGGCGGTTTTCAAACTTGCGTCGCATTTCCAGGACGTTATCCTTGGTTCCAAAAATAATTTTTAATTGTGTCAGAATCAAGTCGATACTCCCAGACAACAGTGATGGGCGAGATAACAGCCAAAAATTAGCCTTGCCCTTTAGGCGTGAGCAAAATAATGAACGCGTGACGTCATCACTGACTTTGAACACATCACGAACATTTTTAACCACAAGCAACCATTCGTTTATGTTGCCATCGCCGTGGAATTCTGGGAGTAGCTCTTTCACGGTGTTCAAGTTCATTTCTGGCTTGGAAAGACGGTCCACATTTTCGAAACGTAAATTTTGCATCGCCTGTTACATTCCCGCAGCATTGCCACCCGATTCGGCCAGTATGTTGCTAGCTGGACTACGTTGAACGCCAAAGGTTGAAGTACTCGGTTGAACGCCGGTTCCTGGAAGTTGAACGCCACCACGATCAACTGTCTCGACAAGTTTAAGTTCGTTGCCGAAAACGTCTTCATCTTCTTCCTCGCTTTGTTCTTCGTTGTTGTTGTTGGCTGCATTGGCGAAAGCCATCTCGCCGACTTGTTCTTCGTTGTTGTTGTTGGCTGCATTGGCGACAGCCATCTCAACACCAATTTCGCCTCCACCTTTCGTAGACTCCACCTTTTCGTAGTACAACTCCGGAGCAATTTCAGACGGTAGTACAGCACTTAACTGCGCAATTAGTGCGGCTTTGTGGACAAGCCAAGTTTTTCACAGAAACTTGTGATTTCCATTAATTTGAGTTCGCCGAGATTAATGCGTGAAGCCATGTTAACGGATATTTTTGTATTCCAATATAACTTGGTTAGGTTCAGTTACCACTTCTGAATTATAGTGTTCTTTGTTCTGCTTTAATTTAATTATCTTTTATTCAGCTTTTTCGTTTGATCGCACCGGCCACCCTTTTTCGAATGCCTCGCTCTCTTCTTCGTGCGTCTTTTTTTTAGGGATGCAAAACACATCCATACTTTTACAAACCAGAAATAGCACACACAAAATATATCCTGGGTTACACACACATTAAAATATAACTTAACTATATAACTTAAAACTACTTTGGCCATGTTTATTAAGAGTAGTTGCTTACTTAGTTCTTATTACTACACTATGATGATTTGCAGCTCAATGATTAGATAGTTATTTTATATATTTTCATTATTTCTATGGGAGCTATATGATATAGTCGTCTGATTTTGATAAAATTTAAACCATAATTCTGAAATATTTAACCATTGCTATATGTCGAAGAACTAAGCAAAAAATTAAAAAACAGCAAAGTTATAATTTTTTTTCATTTATTTTTCCGATTGTTCCTATTGGAGCTATATGCTATAGTTGTCCGATCTTGATGAAATTAAAACCGTAAATCAGAAATATTTAACCATTACTAAATGTCGAAGAACTAAACAAAAAATTAAAAAACAGCAAAGTTCTAATTTTTTTTTCATTTATTTATCCGATTGTTCCTATGGGAGCTATATGCTATAGTCGTCCGATCCGGCTCGTTCCGACTAATATACTACCTGCAATAGAAAGACAATTTTTGGAAAAGTTTCATGCAGATAGCCTTAAAACTGAGAGACTAGTTTGCATATAAACGGACGGACAGGCGGACAGTCGGATAGACAGACGGATGGACAGACGGATATGGCTAGATCGACTCTACTAGTGATGCCGATCAAGAATATATATAATTTATAGGGTCGGAAACGTCTCCTTCACTGCGTTGCAAACTTCTGACTGAAATTATAATACCCTCTGCAAGGGTATAAAAAAAAAGTTGGTTGAAAAGTCAAACCGTTTGTGTTTGATTAAAAAAAAAGTTGAAGCGCTCCTATTGAAAAACCCTTTATTAATAATAATATGATATCACTCTTAATTACAATAAGAATAATCTTTCATAATCGATTTGGACTTGCACAGATTTCTGACTATTCCAATAAGCATAAAATGCTAATTTAAACGATATGAAATGGGTTTCATTTTTAAACGCTGAATAACACCCAAAAGCGAATTTTTAGAAAATTACTCTAAAACTCTAAAATATGAACATTAAAACCTAGTTTGAGTTATAATTCCGTAATTGTTTTGCTTAAAGAAAATATTTTAAGGAAACGTAAGTAGCCCTTAAAAATACTTTTTTAGCAAATGTATTTTTAAAGCTCGTTACCGTAGCTTAAGTCGTTAGGGCGTGTGAAATCTAGTTTTTTAAGCCGTTTTCCGCTTAACTAACGGGTTTTCCAAAATGTTGTACAACGAAAGTTTTTTCAGCTCGAGCTGGTTAAAACATCGATTTAATACGCACAACAAACAAAAATGCTGTATTTCTCTTGTTTTATATATCTTCTTAAAGGAGTATCAGATTGAAAGAAGTGTGGTGTCGTTAGAGGCGTATTTTATGCCAGAATACAACCATGCCATAAAAGTAAGACTTTTTGCTCCACCGGTCCCAAACAGATACAGAATAAGGCAAACAAATTTCTGAAACCAAATGACTTTCTAAAACTCTTAAAATTCTTAAATTCTTATGAAAGTGATTTCTTTTGATTGCTATATTATTTATTAAGATACTTGCGCACGCTTACCGGTACTCATCGTCACTACATGTACTGCCGTCCATATGATATGTGCGGTAGGTTGGTAATCATCCTAGTGCACATTTTTTACACATCTGGCAATTGAAAGTCCAAATTTCCTTCAAACTTTTAGCGAATACAAAGTACCCTTTTAATTCATAAAAGACAAGGGTCTGGTTTTCCAAAAAAGTTTGAAGGTAAAGAAATTGAACATTGAGCCTTTTAATCAGGTAGTTTTATCATATATAAAAAACAAGAAAGAAAGCAAACTTCGGCAAGCCGAAGTTCATATACCCTTGCAGCTGGTTGTATTCTGGCATTAAATACGCCTCTAACGACACCACACTCCTTTCAACCTGATACTTATTTAAGAAGATATTTAAAATAAGACAAACACAGCATTTTTGTTTGTTGTGCGTATCAAATCGATGTTTTAAGCAGCTCGAGCTGAAAAAACTTTCGTTGTACCATATTTTGGAAAACCCGCTAGTTAAGCGGGAAACGGCTAGATTTCACACGCCCTAACGACTTAAGCTACGGTAAGGGCTACTTATGTTTCCTTAAAATATTTAAATTATAACTCAACCTAGGTTTTTATGTTCACATTTTATAGTTTTAGAGTAATTCTCTAAAAATTCGCTTTTGGATGTTATTCAGCGTTTAAAAATGAAACCCATTTCATATCGTTTAAACTAGCATTTTATGCTTATTGGAATAGTCAGAAATCTGTGCAAGTCCAAATCGATTATGAAAGATTCGTACTGTAATTAAGAGTGATATCATATTATTATTAATAAAGGGTTCTTCAATAGGAGCGCTTAAACTTTTTTTAATAAAACACAAACGGTTTGACTTTTCAACCAACTTTTTTTTTACTATCGAATTTGAACATATACATTTAATTATGAAACTCGATTTCTTTCGCATGACCACCGCGTGCACGTTTTATGAAGTCCAATCGTTGAACCCAATTTTCAACCACTTTTTCGCATAAATCGATCGAATTCAAGCAATTTCGCGTTCAATATTGGCTCTGAGCTCTTGCAACGTCGCCGGTTTATTGGCATAGACCAATGACTTCACGTAACCCCAAAGAAAATAGTCTAGAGGTGTCAAATCACTCGAGCGCGGCGGCCACTCGACCGGTCCATTTCGCGAAATAACACGCTCATCGAACTTAGTTTTCAATATTGCGATTGTAGCGTGAGCATGTGGCCCCGTCCTGTTGAGCATCACTTCGAGCACTTCTTGCTCTCACGGACACCGGAACATTATGTAGCGAAAACGTAGACTCAAATTTTGCCACTACACGGTCGATTGTCGAAGCCAGCCAAGGCAGTCCTTGTAAAATGGACCGCAAAATGGCCGTAATGCTCTTAAAGTAGCAGCAACAGAAATTTATATACCATTGCAGCTATTACTAGCATTAAATATTCCCTATAACAACTTTATTCCGATTTGTATGCCTATAATTCAAAGAACCTATGATGATTTTTATATGAATTAATCTATCGTTTTTATGGCAGGTATGTATGTATGTACATATGTATATTAATGATAACCTTAATGAAATTAAAACCAGCTATAAAATATAATATAAGTATAATATAAGTATAATCAAATCAATTGAAAACAGTGATTGTTCCTATGGCAGCTATGTATATAATATCGCTGTTCGATTTTACTTTTGTTTTCTAATAATACTTTTAATACCCTTAGTTTGAATAAAATAAACAAATTTTTTTTACGCTTCAAAGAACGATCAAAAGCTCTGGAATGCAAATACATATGTACATATGTACATATTTGTAAATCCAATATGATACGCCTATAAAGTTTACGCCCAAAGTTTTGTTTGTTGGCTGAATAACTATGAGCCCCTAAACACATTAGTGCCGAACCACGCCCCTTAGGTGTGTATTCAATAGATTTTTTTGTGGCAACATTAAAGACAAAATTAGTTAGTCCTGTATCAACGCAACCATAGAAACTATATTAAAAGCACTTATTATTTGAAGTCTTATCAACATATGTACATATGTCGACACACATTTTCTCATTGCTTACATGAACGTTCAGCTAGGGTGAATTTCAGTATCGATTTTTCAAGCTTTCTTAAGATATACAACATAGTTTTTCTTTTACGATTTTATTAATGTCAGTTATTGGTTTTAACAAATATTCAAGCTAGAAGTAGTTTGGTTGGTTTAACACACTTCATCAAAGTTGTGGTATTGTTTAACATACCCAATTGATGTAGATTCGCGCTTAAGCCTTGTACATATGTATATGTATTATTACATATTCACTACACTTAAATCACCAGGTCTTCATCTATTTTAGATTTAATAATAACAGTTTACATGCTCTTATAAACAAATGGCAAGATAAAAACGTTATTCCTTTTTGATAAATGATTTATGTTATAGTATAGCTGGTACAAAGGAACTAGTTCAATTGTCAGTGTTTCGATAAATTTCAGAAATATTTATTCATCGAACATTTGGGACATTGTATGTATACATGTTGGGTATTCCCTCACTATGAATTTTAGGCCCTATAGAAAAAAAAAAAACTATGTAAACTATTGTCATAAAAGAGTATTTCTTGGATCAAAAACTGGACGGAAAAAGTCAAGCCGTGAAGTTATCGGCTGTAATAGTTAAGTGTGGACGGCAATACATTTAATGCCACTATTGTTAAAAGAACCTAGGAGGATATAGTTGCCATCATGATATATTCACGAAGAAGATGCAGGCTGGTTTGGAAGTCGCTGCGGTATAATATTGAGCGTATTCATCAGAAGAACATTACCGCTGATCAGTGATAAATTTCTTTCGATAGTTCTGCTGAATGCGTATGATCATTGATCATGATGCAAAAATTCTTTTATAATGATCAGCAAAAGAGGAGCGTAAAATAGTAGTAGACCTTTGATCCATGATACAGATCTGCTAGCGTATATCGATGGTATAAATATCGATAAGAAAAATCAGAAGAAGAGAACGTAAACCAAATAAATTAAAAATCATGAATAAATTAAGGGCCTAAATACACTTCGGTTGCTCAATTGCGTCATTTCGTTCGTGGCTAGACGCAGTACTTTAACACAGGTTAACATAGGCATATTATACAACAACAAAAATAGCCGGGCTTTACCTGGACAAATCAAAACAAAGAACAGGTGTTCAGATGCAATGAAGAACGTTTGTCAAGTGTAACAGGCTTTTCTACTCTATTGCGTCAATTCCGATATCGATAGCAGACGTGCGTGAGTGAGGCTATAACTCATTAATTATTTTGCAAGAATTTTTTTTATTGTGAAGTACAGCGACAAGAGAAGTTTTGTGGCCGCACCGGTACATATATTTGCTTTCAGCTGAAAACGAAAATAAATTATCTTCGTCTTTCGTTATACACAAATTTACTCGTATGTGCACTGTCAATTTAAATTTTTGTATTAATACGGGTGTGACATTACATTGCTCGCATCACTTATTCAAACTTTATTTTTTTGTTTATTATATTGTGTTTATCCCGCTAATTTTAACGTTTAAAGGTTTTCAGTTGTTACCTTTAAATGGTAGAAAACATTTCATATACTCTAATGCATGAGCAAAATTGTACTTTTAAATACAATTTTGCTCATTGTTGTATCGGCCCCGGTGGTATTTCATCGAATGTTATTTTTTACTGAATTCGGTCCAGTATTTTACTAACGGGTATCGTGATCTCTCAATTTTCTTCATTCATTGCTCATTGGTATCGTCTTACGTTTGTCTTGCTCGCACTTACTTAAAATCGTATAGTTTAAAAAAATAAATGAGCAATGAATGAGTACAACAATGTAGTGTCATAAGCCCATAAGCACATTCAGCTGTTTCAACAAATTGATCATTCAGCACTAATCCATCTGTGATCATATTGTTCTGCAGAATACGCCTTCAATTGGTTTTCTGTCTGTCAACAAGCCCATCACGTATGACCAATCAACCAGCTTGGATGAACTACCTATCATTCGTTGAACGGAAGGTCCATAAGGTTTTGCCTCTCCAAAAATTTCCCAGTTAGCCCGCCGTTAAAATTTGACGGACTTTGACGGACTTATTTATGCGAAAGTAAGCCGATGTTTCTTTGGTCCTTCCACGTAGTCTATCCCTGAAAAACCGTTGTGTTTTTTTAAAATAGGTGAAACTCTCATTTTCACAGACCACTTTCACCATTCCACCTTCATCCTTCTGATGAAACAGACCAACGGATGGACTGTGTGGAAAGAGGGCATCAGTCCGCCATTCAAATCTGTCGGACTGTGACGGACTTATTTACTCGATACTTAGCCGATGTTTTTTCAGTGCCACCCCTTTCCCAAGCAGTCGATCCCGAAAAAAACCGTTCCCACAGAGCATTCACTATTTGGTGGAATTGTAGTTTCACATTGGTCAAACAAGTCAACTGTTTCCCAAGGATGAACTATGTGGGAAGAGGGTATTAAATAGCACTAGAATTTTATTTTACATCACCTAATAGCGCAGTCCCACAGAACCCAATCCAAGCGAAAGGTTGGGATTTTTTATCATCACCACCATCATCCCTCCACCATCCACTGCCCTTAAAAAGTCACAGTGGCGCATGCTAAATTTTTTTGAGGGGGTCTTTCACTCTTCTTTTTCGGCTGCACCTCTAGTTCATAGAAATAAAGATGGCCAATATAAATTCTTTCGCGCCAAGACTCCGGAGTTGCACAGAAAAAACATCAACTTAATATCGTCTAGAAATATAAAATCTGTTTATATCAGTCTACATATTATTATTAAATCATTTAACTACAATAGATGTCAATTCAAATAGCTTCGCCTATAAAAAGTATAACGAATAATTTTAGCACGAACGTTCTTGAAAATCGGCCGAAAAATTCTTAAAATTTTTAGGATGAACGTGTACAGAATACGTACGGGTCATACTTGATAATAATATTATAAAATGTTTTTTTTTAACACATAGAGGAAACGAAATTTTTCGCTTTATCTATGCTTATAGTGTTTGTAAATAATAACAAAATTAATAAAAACAGTAAACTCTATTAAAAACTATTAATTTAACAAAAAAACAAAAACTATTAATTTAAAACAAGAACATTTCGTTCTTAAAATGATTGGCCTAGGGGGTAAGTGTTTTGGAACCTCAAACATTGGGTAAGCTATTAAGAACCCGAGCTCAAATCCCAGACTAAGTTATCAATTTTTTTTTTTGGTTTTTATGTTTTTTTTTTTCAAACGTTCTGCTTTTATTTAAATTTGTATCTAGTTGAGCTCAAAAGTATAGCAAATAAATGCTATTTGATTGCAAACAAATTGCATCGAATTCTTATACGGGCGTAGTACACAGTAATCACAATTGCGCCATTGTGGCGCAACCGGCTAATGCGTCTACGAATCCAAAGGCCTCGGTTTGAATCACGGTTGGGTCGACTTGCAGTGAACAAAATAAGGTTTGCTTTCTGTTTCCTTTACATATCAATTTATCATATTCCCTTTCATTCTAATTTCATATGGAGTCAAAGAGAAAAGAAAAAAAAGAGAAATAGACAAAAAACATTTTTTAAAAAAAACTTAAGTTAAGAAACTTTCATACTTGTATTAAGAATTTTTCGTACTCAAATTAATATCTTTCGCACTTTCTTCAAGCTCTTTTGAGTACTTGGACTGATGACGTTCTCAAATGTAGAACTTCGGGATTGAATATTTCGTACTTGATTTAAAAAAATTCGAATTTACCCTACTTTTGACATCGTTCGTTCTTGATTTGACATCGAAATTCTGGATTTATGTGTGTACAGGTATGACATTACATTGTTCACCTCATTCATTGACGGATTCATTGAAGCTCGAAGACAGAGACAACTATAAGGATACTGCCTTTAACTTTTAAATGTTTTCAGTTCTTACCTTTAAATGGTAAAAAAATGTTGATAAGCTGAGGAACACAAATATTGCAAATGAGAGGTAATAATGCGCTCAAATGCTTTAGGTATTGCAGACAATTTAGAAATACCTTTTTATTTTTGAACATCCGACTTTTCTCCCTTTTTATGGAGGAAAAACAATAAAGGAATCTTTCCAGATAGTTGGAAAAACTGATGATCCGACTTACAAATAGTTGAGGCACAAAACTTATGCACGCACTCAGGAAGCACGTCCGGTCCTAAAGAGTATATTGATGTTGTGGTCTCCAAATCCCTTAGAAGATAACTTTCTGTTATAACCGGGAAAAATAAAATTTGACCTGTTTAAATTGAAAGGGTAAACTGAATTTAGACAAAAATCCGCACTTTAGGTAGTTTGGAGGAACTTGGCAAATAAATCAGAAATTTCAGTTTCAGTAGACGCCTCAAATGAGTTTAATTGTACTGATACGGGTATGACATTACGTTGTTCGCCTCTTTCATTAACGAATTCATTGAAGCTAAGAGACAGAGACAATTATATGGATACTGCTTGAGATTTTTTTGGTTATAAAATCACGGTCACACTGTCTTTTTAACGTTAAAATCAAACTGTATAGTTTTGTTTATTATATTGTGCTTATCCCGCCAATTTTAACGTTTAAAGGTTTTCAGTTGTTACCTTTTAATGGTAAAAAATATTTCGAAAACATTTAAGCCTCGCTTTTTCATTTTGTTTTGTCGTCAAGTCCAATAAATGAGCAAAATTGTACTTTTTAAATACAATTTTGCTCATTGATGTATAGGCCCCGGTGGTTTTTCATCGAATGGTATTTTTATACCAAAATCCCGTTCATGTTTTTTACTATAGGGTATCGGTTCTGTCAATTTTCCTCATCGGAATCGCCATAGGTTCTCTTGTTCGCACTTACGTAAAATCGTATAGTTAAAACAAAAAATGAGCAATGAATGAATGAATGAATGAATGAGGCCAATAATTTAGTGTCATAACCCTATGATGAAGGCAAGGCGGAGTTATATTGTTGACATTTACAAAGTTATAAAATTTCTTCGGATCATTTGATATTTCAACTTTACTCCGGTTCAAAAACTTAGAATTACGTTGACTGACGTCCCCTTTTACTTTTTGTAACTGTTTGTTTTTGGGTTTTGGGTTTCTTCGAAGCTCTTGTGTAAACCACGGAGGTATGTATGTTATGTCCTGGAGGAAGACTGGCATTAACGCGTTCATTCAAAAAGTGTTTAAAACGCTATAGAGTAATTCAGTGGAACTTTCCATATCCGTGCAATTGTATAAGTTTGTCTAGTTGTATTCGGAAATCAAGTAGTTTACCTTATTAAAGTCACACTAACGTAAGCATTTCGTTTTATAGCATGATTCCATTGCCACATTAGCGAACTTGTAAATGTGCCTGATTTCATTGGCGCATTAGCATTTAGCTAATGCTAAGCCGACATTTGCAGCTGATCTGGTTTTGTTTACTTTCGAATTGTCCAAAAGAAA